GCATCATAGAACATTATTGTATTAAAGGACATGTAAATTGTATAAATTTAAATAGTGGCGCATGTGTTAATGCATGCTGGGATAGCTTGATAGAGTATAAAAGTACTGGCAACGTAACAATGTAATATCCACTGATGAGGCTGACAAGCGAAATATATATGGATAAAAAATTGGATAAAAATAGAAAAATAAAGTAAGAATTAGTGAAAGTGATTTTCTGGTCTTTCTCTGTTTTTAAACTCTATCGAAGTCGGATTTAAAAAGTGAATTCACTTGTATTTCTTAAAGGTTTTTTTAAAGGGAAAAAAATTTTAGAATTTATTAATTTTTAATATTTGAATAACCGATCCCATTGTTTTATTATTTATTTACCATTAAATAATCCATATTAGACAAATTAAGTACAGTATAGAGCTATAAAACATACTTGTGTATGAAGTAGGATATTTATACCATTTAACAAAAGAAAAAATGTAATTATTTCCAGCATAAAATTAAGTTTTCCCAAAAGAATTCAGATAATGAACTAAATTTTATTTAGGCTATATATTTACAACAGAATTTATTCGCATTCATATAACTTGTTAATACATTCAATGTCGGATTGTAACAGAGAGTCCCATTCGTAAATTTCTTTAATGGTAACATTTGGAAGAGTTGGCATTAAACTTATTTTACCATATTTAGCGAAGGATTTAGGACCATAATGCATAATGCTATCGTAACTATAATGGTCACATATTCTCAAGAAGTTCTTATCGTACATCAGAAACGAACTCTTATGTTCTGCTCGTAAAAAAAATCATCAGTTCAAACTATTTATGCATAAAACTACATTGAACAGTATGACTTACCTTCTTCAATATTATTCCACAAAATTTTAATATATTTATCACGATCCGGTCGATTATGTTCGTGATAGAAGCCAATAACGTGGCCTAATTCGTGAAGTATTATTCCGAGGTTCCAACATCCACTTCCTAAATTAAGAATCTGACGTCCACCNTATATTTTATTGAATTCTGTTTTTTTTTTCTTTATAGTAATATTATCTGCCTATCAGTGGCTAGTTTGTTATCTATTAAAAGGCAGCCATGAAAAATTAGAAAATGAAATAAGAAAAGGGGAAAATACTTTTACTGCTCGGAATAACTCACAAGTGTACTTTTGCCAGCCATTGTCATTAGCATTTTTTGAGGTAATTTGATAAATCTATACTGGTTATCATCAGAATTAAATATTTTACTGTTTTTTCTTTTCATTTTTGACTTTACTATCCTGAAGGCAGTTAAGTTTTTTTTTTTTTTAGTCATGGGTACATTTGTCTTCATATACCCATGACTATGGGCTTGCCTAATGGACTCATGAGTCATGGGCTCTCTTCTACATGGATTCATGTAGAGGAGAGCCCATTATAATATATTTTATTCAACCAACTCACTGATGAAAATTTGAGTTATTTGGATTCAAATTTCCACTAGTGCAAATGTTTGAAGCAAGGTTAGTAGGCTAATGCAGTGCCCTCTAATAGTGGGCTAACGCTACTTGTTTCTGATGGTATTTATCCTGTAAATAATAAACTGTAACAAAATATTTTGTAAAGAAGTTTGAGAACAATTTTCATAAGTTATCTTTATAGTTTAAAGATGTAAATATCTAAATTTTACCTTTTAGAAGGACCAAGATATCACAAAACTTACCGTATTTACTTGCATATAATACAATTCCGCTTATAGGACGAGGTGTGACTTTAGAGATCAAAATAAAGAAAATTAGATTTATTAATACAATTCTAATTTTATTTCATTTAACCACAAATAAAGTGTCAAAAGCATGTATTAAAGAAAAAAACTATATTTGCCATAATATGTGATGAATAACATTATAATGCATATTATGACTAGAAAAAGTTTATTTTTAATGATTCAGAATAATTCATTAAAAATAACCATTTAACTTATATGAAATAAGTACATTTATAATCATTGCTAAGTGACCTGTATTTCATTAATGATTTTATAAATAATAAGCATTTTCTGCGGATGAATGAGATGCAATGCAGTTTTTAATTGATGGACATAGGATTAAACCAATAAACAAAGAGGGATGTGTCTTAATTTGTTTACAGTAGATGACAACTTATGATAAATAGACTAATAGACTGTAGACCTATAATGGCAGCATGAACTATATATGGTTTATAGAAATTATTGCAAAAACGCAAAGAATCCTTTGCTCATGTGTATAGGATGACCTAGGTTTTTGAAACAGTGAAAAATGAATGAAAGTGCATAGACTCAGAACAGCTGAATTCATCATTTCATTCCAGAATACAAATGCACATCAATGAATGGAGATACCCCCTTTTCTCCAATAAAAAGAAGTTTAAACTTGAGAAATCCACTGAAAAAGTCAAGGCCTCTGTCTTCTGGGATGCTTTGTCAATTTGTGGAACCAAGAAAAACAGTCCAAGAATGAAATGAATTTATGGTATCTTTTTAAAATAGTTCTCAAAGTTTTTCTTTCAAAAAATACTTTGTTACAACTAAAAAGTTGTAGCATAAATTCTATCAGGCATAGATGCATATGGGTAATTTCTAATGAACAACATATTAGTAGAGTGAAAAAAGGAAATTCAAATGATTCTATCATTAATTAAGAGGAAGAAATAATTAGTATTTCAAATTAACAATAAGCAGTTTTTACTGTGTTTTAAATTAGATATTATTATCAGAATTAGAATATTCTGAAAAATGCAAGTTAAACTACACTTATAATACAAAATTTGTACTACCTTTGTATTAAGTGTTCCATTTTTATTATAACTAAAATATGCAAATGTTTGAAATTTACACTAATTATTCTTTGCTTCTCTACATAATTGCCTATAACATTGAGACATTTTTCTCAGTATTTAATTAGGATTTGGAAATGTTATGTACATGTACACAAGTGTTCACTGGGACAAATAAGTCAATTGTCCTTACTGGATCAAGCCTTAGTGACCATGTGTGAAAGGATTTGGAAGTTGGAACTTTATTATTAATTTTCTTAGGAGTGTTGGAAAATTTTATTCTCTGTTCACTCAGTAGTATGGTAAATTACTTGATATAAGCTCAGTCTGATTCAAACAATAATTATGGTAGTGGGAGTATATTCCTTTGTCTCATTGGAAAAGTTGTAGTAGATGCCTGTGCTTGAGTGTAGAAAGTTGTGCCCTGCCTACAGAAGTATTATCATACAACATAGATCTTTCATACCTTGATTTGTTCTGAAACATTGATCTTCCTTCACTGTTGAGAATATGTGAAAGTCACTTGATATTAGATATGGACTGTATGGTGAAGATGTTTCTATCTGAGTTTCACAGTTTATGCAGCATCTTGGCAGTGTGAGGAGTGGAATTGTCATCAACAGGAGCATTCCATCAATGAGAAGTCTGAGATGCTTTCAATAGATTGCTAATTGAAGTCATGCAATGTTTCACAATAACTGTATCTTGGACTGTTTTTCTTGGTTCCACAAATTGACAAAGCATCCCAGAAGACAGAGGCCTTGACTTTTTCAGTGGATTTCTCAAGTTTAAACTTCTTTTTATTGGAGAAAAGGGGGTATCTCCATTCATTGATGTGCATTTGTATTCTGGAATGAAATGATGAATTCAGCTGTTCTGAGTCTATGCACTAGATGAAAGCATCACTGTCCTTCTGATAACAGAGCAGATGCATTATATTTGATATGAGCAGATGTAAGAAGTGAGCCACAGAACCCTCAGATGACACTTGTAGGAAATACAAATCATGCACAAAATTATACATTACCAAATTGGTTTGCAAGCTTTTAACACAAACTGACTACTTACATTAACATAACTAAATAGAAAATATAATCCATCAAAACACAAAGTCATTGTGTTTGCACAGAAGTACAAACTACTACACACTCATTAAAAATACGTACCTCAAATGGTCATAGAAAACAGTTTGTGCAAAATATACTATTGCCAAGCCATAATCATGTACAAAACAATCTGTCAGAACAGACCAAACGCCATAACACCAAACATTTACTGACCAGTAAAACAAACGTATACATCATAGACACCCACAAAATACAAAATACATGCCCTGAAAAACTTAGTAAATACTCAGAACTTGCCCATGGAAAACAAAAAGAGAACTAAAGCTTCCTTGGAGAACAGATGAGATATTTCTTGATCGTATCATTATTTCTTACTCACACAGGTCCTGCCTCATACACAACAAAAATCCAGATACATCAGTGCTTCAGTACACACAACACATTACAGAAAGTACATACTAAATACATCGCACAAGAAATCCTTAAATACAAATACAGATACATGTACAAATAGTAGGTCTATATAACTACAGTAAGTTTTTCTGATTAGGCATAGCACCATGCATCATTATTAATTAGCAGAGTAGGATACAATCCATCAGTCCCATGATGATGATGAAATTATTAATAAATATTTAAATTTTATTTTAATTGGAATGGCTAGAAATTGTATTATATCATTTTTATCGTGGGTGCTACTTAAACAAAATCGTGTGTCTTAATAGTAATTAAATTTTTAATACAGTATTCATTTTAAGATAATTAATTAAACTTCAACATATTTTTTTATACCCGTTAAATTATTCTTTATAACGAAAGATATTAATAAGTTTAATATACGTATAATTTTTTCAGCTTTCCATAATTCAGAGGTTTTACGATTTTATTACCGAAGAAACGGTTGACGTCGTCCTGTCGTCTATATTAAAGAAAGTGTGTTCTTTGTACGCTCTCTGGAGTTTAGAAAAACATTTAGCAATTTTTTACGAAGGTAATTTCAATTAAATTTTTAAATTATTAAATGTCGATAGATACAAATACTCAAATGGTATTATATAAGATAAAATCATCGTGGTACGATTAAAAGTAAAGTTATTAGTTACTAAAACATCTTTTAGTAATATTTTTATCCAAGATGTTTATTGTTTAGGTAAAATATATTTAATTAAAAAATATATGGCAAGCAGCTAGGTAAGCAAAATTCAATTCAAAGTAAACAGATTGTGCCATTGGTTTTCTTAGCCGCTTTTCTAGCACAAGACATCTTTTCATGTCTGTGCTTTCGGCTCGCCCCACTCGTACCCAGGAAACTAATAATCACGAAACCAATTTGGATATTCCGTTGCCAATTTAAGAATTAAGTTCGTATTTTATCGATTATCGGAAATAATCTGAGCGGGACAATTTCGGATAACGGATCACAATCGCTAGAGAAAGAATAAAAAGGTATACATATTTTTACTTTAAGGTATTTATTTAAAAGGTTAATTAAATCATTGCCTGCGGGAATTTTGCAAGTGCACTGAATTCTTGATATTCTGTTCGCTGTAATGAATATGCACAGAACAATTCATCGTGTCTAGCATAGTGTTCCTTTTAGAAAGTTCTTATAAAAAAAAGTTAGTTTACTTTACATGTTATTTCAAAAATTTTTTCAATGTATGTGTATGTGTATATATATATATATAATCTCATCCATGGATGTTGATCACTAGCCACATGTGCCTACTGTTGACTGTTCCAAATAAGTAAGTAGTTTTTTTAATTGCTTTGGGTGTTCTCTATATACGCACAAATTTGAAAATAATTACTTATTAGAAATACTTGGTGGTTTTATTTCTCATTCTTCCAATAATTTAGGAAACAAGTAAAGTTTATTTCAAATTTAATAATAATCACGTTTTTAGTCTTAATTAAAATTTGTTTCTTTCCAAATGTATTAATTTTTTTTTACGTATCCTATTAAAACAGGCGAATATTTTAAAGAAGGAAAGATGGCGTCTCTGATTAAAGACGGAATTTTGTCATTGTGCTCCTTCCTTAAAAACGAAGCCATAGCTCTTGCAGACGTAATTTCTCCTCCAGATTTTATTCTTAATTCGGTTCTCGGAAATTCTGATGGACAAGTAAGTCTTTTTATAAAACCTATCTTAATTTCAAACTGTTTAGTACGACGGAAAGTAAATATTTTCGAATACAATTTATAGGTTTACGAACATCTTTATAATGCCATTGTTCAGAGATCGGGAGCGCAAGACAGGCCGTTCTGGTGGAAGGAATTTCTCAAAAAACCTTCGGTTCATTCTATACGAGCTAAACTTTAAAAAAATCTTCTGCGTTTTTACTGCCATTCCATTTTATATCTGCATTTTATTTTTTATGAGTTTATCATTAAAACCAGTATTATTATTATTATTATTATTATGCTTTTTAATATGTATAATTTCGATCTGCATAATTTTTATGCAATTTGTTGTTTTTGGTTAAATAAAATTGGGAAAGTTTGTAAAGTGTTTCATTTTATTACAAAAGAATTTACTATAATCTATGTTAGGCTCAAAGATCAAATTGCTCGGCGAGCGTAAAACACGACCCGTGTGTCTGGTCTCGAGTTGTGTGTAACAATACAAACGTGTTGGGAATGTCAGATGGTACCAACTCGTTCAGTGAATAGTCTCGCTGTATGAGTTTGATACCACGCGACACTCCACTGTAAGTACTGTAAGTAGCAACACATTTGTGTTGCTACTTACAGCACATAACTGGAGACTCGGCACCCAGAACGCCAAATTTTGGTTTCCAAGAAAAACAAAATTTGTTTCCGGAGGGTGAGGGGGCGCCAATATAGTGTCGCGGCCCGGGCGCCAGTTATGTTCGCTACTGTGTTTATTATTACGCCACTGATGTTTATTGGCAACAAATTCTATTAAAACTCGAGGGAAAAAAGTATGCATAGAAATCTTTGGTGTAAATAGTAGTAGTAGTGGTTTGGGTAGCACTGATCACAAAATTAATTTTTCATACGAATAATTTTTTAATGGAATTATTTCAGATCACAAAATTAATTTTTCAAGAGAAATCTTGGGCTATAGATTATGTTAAAAAGCATCAATTATCAGCGAAAGATCAATGACAAGTCGATTTTACTACCAAAAAAATTCATGGATTAAATTTTATAGACGAATATATATTAATAATTCTCAACCACATCCGATATTAGTACAAATTGTAAACATTATTATCGCAAATTAATTTTATAATTTAATAATTAAAAAGAATTTATTAAACTTTGTCTTATTTTAAGTTGTCATGTTTTAATTTACTTGGATATTAAAACAANGGCTCGCCCCACTCGTACCCAGGAAACTAATAATCACGAAACCAATTTGGATATTCCGTTGCCAATTTAAGAATTAAGTTCGTATTTTATCGATTATCGGAAATAATCTGAGCGGGACAATTTCGGATAACGGATCACAATCGCTAGAGAAAGAATAAAAAGGTATACATATTTTTACTTTAAGGTATTTATTTAAAAGGTTAATTAAATCATTGCCTGCGAGAATTTTGCAAGTGCACTGAATTCTTGATATTCTGTTCGCTGTAATGAATATGCACAGAACAATTCATCGTGTCTAGCATAGTGTTCCTTTTAGAAAGTTCTTATAAAAAAAAGTTAGTTTACTTTACATGTTATTTCAAACATTTTTTCAATGTATGTATATGTATATATATATATAATCTCATCCATGGATGTTGATCACTAGCCACATGTGCCTACTGTTGACTGTTCCAAATAAGTAAGTAGTTTTTTTAATTGCTTTGGGTGTTCTCTATATACGCACAAATTTGAAAATAATTACTTATTAGAAATACTTGGTGGTTTTATTTCTCATTCTTCCAATAATTTAGGAAACAAGTAAAGTTTATTTCAAATTTAATAATAATCACGTTTTTAGTCTTAATTAAAATTTGTTTCTTTCCAAATGTATTAATTTTTTTTACGTATCCTATTAAAACAGGCGAATATTTTAAAGAAGGAAAGATGGCGTCTCTGATTAAAGACGGAATTTTGTCATTGTGCTCCTTCCTTAAAAACGAAGCCATAGCTCTTGCAGACGTAATTTCTCCTCCAGATTTTATTCTTAATTCTGTTCTCGGAAATTCTGATGGACAAGTAAGTATTTTTATAAAACCTATCTTAATTTCAAACTGTTTACTATGACGGAAAGTAAATATTTTCGAATACAATTTATAGGTTTACGAACATCTTTATAATGCCATTGTTCAGAGATCGGGAGCGCAAGACAGGCCGTTCTGGTGGAAGGAATTTCTCAAAAAACCTTCGGTTCATTCTATACGAGCTAAACTTTAAAAAAATCTTCTGCGTTTTTACTGCCATTCCATTTTATATCTGCATTTTATTTTTTATGAGTTTATCATTAAAACCAGTATTATTATTATTATTATTATGCTTTTTAATATGTATAATTTCGATCTGCATAATTTTTATGCAATTTGTTGTTTTTGGTTAAATAAAATTGGGAAAGTTTGTAAAGTGTTTCATTTTATTACAAAAGAATTTACTATAATCTATGTTAGGCTCAAAGATCAAATTGCTCGGCGAGCGTAAAACACGACCCGTGTGTCTGGTCTCGAGTTGTGTGTAACAATACAAACGTGTTGGGAATGTCAGATGGTACCAACTCGTTCAGTGAATAGTCTCGCTGTATGAGTTTGATACCACGCGACACTCCACTGTAAGTACTGTAAGTAGCAACACATTTGTGTTGCTACTTACAGTACATAACTCGAGACTCGGCACCCGGAACGCGTTGTGGGTGTACGGAAACGGCTGCAGCAAGAAGTTTCGCGTCCTGCCTGTGTAAAAAGACCACAAAGTGGTAAGTCATTCTGGAAACTTGTGAAGTTTTCTAAATATTAAAATTATTTATAATTTTAATTTACTCGAGAAATTTTTGATCTGAAACTAATTTATAACCTGAAAAATTAATTTATTAGGTTATAAATAATAAAAGTTAATAAGGTTATAGAAAATAATTCTTCCAAACATTCACAAGACATTGTTCTAACTTCTAACTACTCAACGGTCTCGAAACTGAACGGCACGATGGCACACACGTTAAGATCAGCCCGCGCAGTCTGAAACTGTGCTGGAGAATCAAATGGTTTTTCGAATCTACTCCGGTGGTTGGTACAGTTCGCCAAAACTGTTACGTTTTCCCCCACACACAACCAGGAATTACTCAAGGTTGGGCCTGCACGGTTAATCCTCAAAGGATTAACTTAAAATTATACGCGTGTAACTGACTAAACCGGGTGAGGTTGATGTTCTGTAAAGCGCATGCACGAATGAGTATAATCTGGCTGTTTGGAAGCTGACAATACAGCGCTTCCATTCCGCCACTAATATTCGAATATACAATAGCGATCTTACCGTTTTTTTCACACGTAGTATAGAAATTTGTAATAAGATACATAATGCGGTTATAATAAAATATTAATTTTATGAAAATACAGTAGAGCCTCGATTATCCGACCCCCGATTAACCGACCGTCCTAGTCAGAAAATTTCAAATGTCCGCTAGTGATGTGGCACTACAATATTTGGCTATGTCTTGGCTACTGCAATATTATTTTTACGTGTTTTAGCTGGCAACACTCATTCGACCATGAAAGGGAGCCAGTATTTAAACGAGGCTTAATTTTCTAATTTTTAACGATACAATAGCGACGATTATTATTTAAAAAAATTTTTGTTAGGCTTAACATCGATGAAAATTCAACGC